CTCGCGACGTGTTACCCCTATATCTGATAGAAAATTGACGAGTTTTGATGAAAGATTTCTGCTTAAAAGTTGGTGTGTGTGTGTGTGTTTTTGTTTGTGACGTTACCTTTTTTTATTATTTATTTATCACAGTAGCCTAGTAGCTTAAGAGCCAAGCGTCTCCCACATTATCGTCCGGATTTTGTTCGTGGAGGGAAAAAATAAAATAATAAAATAAAGTGAAAGTGAAGTAAAGTGGGGGATGTGAAGAAGTGAAGTCTCATTCAAGTTTGCAGGCGTGGATTTACTTACTTACTTACTTACCCCGTGGTGATTGATTTATCTACATACTTACATGGAGCACTCTATTCAAACACGCTTTTGTACCTCGATACTTGGCATCCTAGATTAAGCACCTACGGATTGCAAAACTTACGTTTTTTTTTTGCTTTCTTTCTTCATGCTATAATACAGCGCAGTCATAGTGGTATGCTTCACACCATACAAGCTATGTATTGAAGAACATCAAGTACTTCCGACGTGATTCGGCGACCGATTCTTTCTCTCGAACCATCACACCACCTACAGGGTGATTCCCTGACCCCCCACCCCCTCCCCAGGATCGGCATGTTGAATCCATCGAGTAGCATAATCCGTACAACCAATCAACTGCTTCCCGAAAACGCGGACTTTCGTACCACAGCTCCGGGCACGTTATTCTCCAGGCGTTTGCATATAGTGTGGGGGGTGTGCGATCGGCGCAGGAACAAGGTACAATTGCATCCTAGGCCTATAGCAAACTGGGGGTGGGGGGGGGGGTGTTTTTTTTGGGCTGGGTCGCACATGGGGCATATTCTCCACCTGCCGTTGTGGTGGTATACCAGCATTACGGCTATATATAGTATGGGGTTTTTCTGTTAAGATGGCCAATCGCTTTACGAGACTTTGCGGGGGGGTTTTAGTTACGTTAAAGGAATGTGTATGGATTGGTTTCAGATTCACCAAGCATTTAGAGAGCGTTACATGCAGACGCTAATGAAGGCTTATGTGCTGACGATAAAATGACTGATCTGTGGCATGCAGGTCATGGTAATGGTGTCGGCTAGTTGTTCATCGTCTAGAGCTTGTTTCTTAGCCTGGTATTGGCAGGTCTTACATGTCTGCCCACAGTCTGGTGATGTTGTTCTTTTATTTTCTCTTTTTCATCTGTGCTTAGTATTTTTGTTGGGACTGGAAATGGCCAAGAATATTGGGAAATTACCGTGCAAAGATGCCTTGTTCTGTTGAAAGATTTGGGAGATTGCCGAGTACACAGGGCAGGGCAGCTTCGAGTCTTCTGCCCGAGCGGTCCTGGAGATCATGTGGTTGGTGCAAATCGCGTTAAGCTGGATTGTTTGCCTGCTAATAGTGATTGTAGTCTTGGATAGTTAAATCACTCATCTTGTATTATGTCGAACTGACTGTTCGTCGTCTGCATGGATAGAGTTTAGATATCACGCTAAATCTATGCCCAGATCGACTTTCGGCGTCTGACCACCCCAGTTACATGTGGATAGCGGACAATCTGTGCTTCCGTCAGGGATATGTCTGCTTACATGCGCTTCTCTGTTTTGTTGAACTACTTGTACGCTTTCGTTACAAACGGCAACCTCCACTCTTATATACCTAATAAACTAAGACCCCGTGAACGAGCTCTCGGCTCCACGAAAACTCCGGTACAGTCACCATATAGCCAATGCCTTAATAATCGCGCAAGAACTACTGTATTGAGCGATAAGACCGGTCAGCAATGGTAGCTATCCTCATTCAGATGAGTGCAGCGCACTTGCAACACGAGATAGTGCAGGGTCGCCTTTGACCTTGCTACAACGAGTCAGGTATACCAATGTCGCAAGAGCCGATTCGGCGGTTACTTCTACTGGTAAGTATCCCCGGAATCAAGCATTTCTAGGTGCTCCAGAAGCTTTCAGAAAAAGTCCGTGGTGAAAAACATACATCAACAAATTTCGATATCTCTTCCTTAGGCCAACACGTTGAAACATGCTGTCGAAACGTGGCGCACAATCTCCATGCGCTAGGAATTAAACCATATGCGTTCACAAGATACGCTTAAACAAGCAAGCGGCGGATGTTCTTCGCCGTTACCTAAGTAATGCAGCGCCGACCGATGCCCATCCGTGGTTATCAAACAATCTAAGTAACTCCGAGACTTAAAAGATCGCCAGTAGAAATGCCTATAGCAAAAAAAGCCTAATATATTCTGTGCGTATGTGGACACCTTTCTTATCTGTCTTTCTTCCAAGTGTTTCATACCGATCTGCTATCCCGGATTAAAAGCACCGAGACGAGGGGAAAAACGGCCGTCGCGCCTATAGAGCCAAGACGTGATAGCTAACCTATTATCCGCGCTGGGCGTATTTCTTGCATGCGTACGCGAGACCAGTGACGCAGCTCGGCTGGGCAACCCTGGAGCGTCGATCTATGGACTCTGGGCATACCTATTTATTTGTATTGCGAGGCGGAATGGCACGGAAAGGCGTTGTCCGCACATTTAGACGGTGGCAGTGCGGAGAGTAGTCTCCAAGAACGACTGATTTCGGGAATCATTCTTCTCGGTCGGATGAATGTAGATCAATAGTGGGTTTTGAATTAACATGGACATTACTTTTGAAAATCCCCCAGGTCCCTGGGGCACCCTTTGCGATCTTGTTTCATTAAACAGACGCGTCTGGAGTTATACTATGCAGCGGGCAATGCAACGTCGACACATGCCAAGAGTGGCCCCTTGGCGATCTAGGTATATGACATTGGGGGGAAACATCGCGGCCCTAAGTGCGGGTCTTATTACTAGGATATCCTACCGACATGATATTGTCAAGAACAGGTTTGACACGAATGTCGCTTCATCGCCTTCTTCTCTGCGCAGCCGAGCCACTCTGGGCATAACTATCAAGAACCAAACATGCCGCCTACTCCCGGCTCGGAAGTCATTATCGGATTTGGACAATATGCAATCCAAACACTTTTCCATGTCCTTTGAAATGTTGTCGGGTATACACAGCTGGCCTCTGCAGGCGACTCATAGTCATGGATATTTCGCCCCACAGGACTTCATTTCCCTGAATCTCCACGGGAAGCCTTCATGCCATAATTATCCGGACGTTCTCTGCCTACGGCGTGTATGCAAGTCACGCTATCACCCGTACGGTCTGAGCGCCACGTGCTTGTACATTGGCGCTTATTCACAGGGTCTCTTAAGAAAGATGGTGTAGTTTCATGCGGCGATGACCGGCCGTCAGCGTCTATTTATATAAGGGAAGTACTTTGCTGTACACTGAGCCAAGGCTCCTCAAGGCAGTGCTCTTCGTTGTGAATCGTCATTCCCTCTGGTACATTGAAAATGGTCGCCTTGAATTTCAGGATACTGTATGCTCTTCTTGCCTCATTAACGCTCCTCCATGTCGTGGTCGCTAGGGATCTCGTCACCGATCTGGTGCGTCGAGGCCGACCGGCCATGAATGCGGCGATAGCAAACTCTACGACATGTACCAAGGAAAAACTGCGTATCCGTCGAGAATGGTACGGTCTCTTCCTCATTTTTTTTAGTTGTTTTGGAATACTGACATTGGGCACCCAGGGGAGACATTAGCGCGCGTGAAAAGCGCGCCTACATTGCTGCCGTGCAATGCCTCATCAAAAGGCCGTCTCAGCTTGACCCCGTCCAGTACCCAGGCGCAAAGTCACGATTCGACGATTTTATCGTCATCCACATGAAGTACACGCTTAGGATCCACGGAACTGGTAACTTTCTCTCGTGGCATCGCTACTACACTTTTGCCTATGAGACGGCGTTGCGAACAGAATGCGGATTCAATGGCACGCAGCCATACTGGCATTGGGGGCGCTATGCCGACAGCCCAGAGACAAGCCCACTCTTCGATGGCAGCGACACGAGCATAGGTGGCCAGGGAAAATTCGTACCGCACAACAGTAGTACTGTCAGACCTGCAGGTCGAGGTGGTGGGTGTATTGACAGTGGACCGTTTAAGGGGTTGATGATTAATCTTGGGTGAGTGTTTTCTTGTTTCCCTTCTCCCCCCAGATACAAATACTACGTTTGCAGTCGCACAAAACTGACACATTGCACAGGCCTGTCGGAATGATCGATTACCCGAAACCAACCAACAACTCTCGCGCCGACGGCTATGGATACAATCCTCGTTGCGTGACGCGCGATATTAGCAATTATCTTACCTCGCGCTACACTAGAACACCACAGATTGCGGCCCTCATCCTGAACCACACCACTATTGGCGATTTCCAAGACACCATGCAATTAAGGACTGGTGTTCACGGCGCCGGCCATTTTACTGTATCCGGAGATCCTGGAAGCGACTTTTACACTTCGCCCGGTGGTATGTGGAATGCTTCTCCCATTGTTACCCGAATATCAGCTGATAAATTGTGTTACAGACGTGCATTTTTACTTTCATCATGCCATGATCGATCTGGTGTATTCGACTTGGCAGTCTCTCGATTTCCCACACAGACAGCAGGTCATTGCGGGTGGCACGCGTATGTTCGACGACGCCAACAACAGCACGCGCCAGACCTTGGAAGACGTGGTCGATCTGGAGGTGTTGAACGTGGATGGCAAGAAGTACAAGATCAAGGAGTTGGTCAGTACAGTTCGCGGGCCTTTCTGCTACCTCTATCAATAAGACGGCCACATAATAGGTCTGCGCGGTTAGATTATGACATGAAAAAAGTCTAAGATTCCAAGTCTGGTTTTGCGGCCAGTTAGCATAGCACATTGTTAGATTACTGAGTAGAGCATTTAATATTTCAATTAGTCCTCAGATTAGCTCTCCTGCTGTCCTCAGAAGGAACCTCGTTTGCGTGCTATCGATCGATCTTTCAACCTCTCAACAGGCTACAAGCGGGCTCCTCAACTCGACTTTGGCTTTAATGCCCCACAGGGACATCATCACTGGACCCATCTCTACCCGTCTGTAAAACAGGCTCTTGAAAAGAAAAGACAACGCACCCATAGCGGCACCGACCCACAAACCAGCAGGCCTCAACGACAAAGACCTCGCTTCCCCGCTCACAATGCCCAGGGGGGCAAAGGCGCTCGGATTGAAAACTACATTCAAATGTCATAAGCGAACAACGTCCTCCAAGCTGTTTAGGCAAGGCAGCACGGTGCTTCAACTCTTTTACTCTGTCCTCAGTGCGCGGCGGGAAAGGTTGAGGCTGCGGCTTGTGGTGAAGGTGAACCCAATAGCTTGACGAAACCACCCATGACCCATCGCGGTGCTATGATGGAATAGGTGATGTGGCTGCATCTAGTATGATGGCGCACTCCCTCCGCTTTCCGTTCTTGACTGTCATGCAGTGAGACACCGAGGGGGATTAGTCCTCAGCATCGCCTTGTGACGAAGGTTTGTCGTTCATTGGGATCTGGCACGCGTCAGCAAGCGGTATTGCAGTTTGTGCTTCAGAGTCGCCATTTCACTACATTGCGACAGAGTGAAAAGAAGGGAGGCTTAACATGGGGTTACGTACTCGTAGCTTGGGTTGTGGGTGGTAAGAAACCTGTCCACCGAACGCGCCCAAAGTTCAGCAGGCGCGCAATCACGGGGCTGCGCTAGTAGTACGCTAGTGACATAAGCAGCATTCGAGATCCTCACCTCCATTTCTGTACCATATTCAAAACAGCAGTAGAAATACGGTCATGCATTAGCAAGATATAAGTATAAGACGGAGAATACCTTCCACTGCAACCAGTTCCCTACAAGTTACGTCAGAAAGTTAGAAATTCCGTCTTAGCACATGATTATAGTAATCCTGGAGGAGATAACGGGAGAAATCGATCACGTGCTCGTCATGTGATCGTACCATCCGCTGGCCGCTAACCAGAAACAGGAGTATGGAGCTCGGCTGTCCCGCTCCAAGTTCGGCTGTCCCTCGAAATGCTTATCTAATACGTCTCTTGATACTAACCCTAATCTAGACTAAGCTCATACATAACACTAACTATAAGCAGCTTAGTGCCTGCCGAATCAAGCCTAAGTATCTCTGATTCTGCTTACTATGCATATTCGAGGACAGCCGAACTTGTCGCGAGGGACAGCCGAACAGACTCCAGCTATTAAGGCATCAACGGTACATGGCAAACCTGCCCAAAAAGGAAACTTGGAACTTGGCAAGCTCATAGCTCCATAAAACCCGTGTCAGTGTCCCCTCTGCACGCTTGCCGTCACCCTTCTTACCAACCCGCCCACCACGCTGCGAAAGGATCGTGCTTTTCAGATTGCATGAGCCAGTGCTAAAGCTCGCACCAGGGGCTGTATAATGAATTCGCTCGATCACAGCTCTAGAAGGCGCAATAAAATTTGATGCCACCCATCCAACACACCAAAAACCTTGTGCATCCGACATCATGGCCGCTTCTTACACTCCATGTCGCGAGACCACCTAAATCAGATGCCAGATCAATACTCAACCCACTCCGTTTGCTTTCATCGACAGCCTCTGCGTACTACTATGCAGAGACCTGTTATTATGAGCGGAGACATTGCATTAGCCTTGACAAATCCATTTCGAATACTGTGTTCCACTAGTAAGCTGCGCACCCCAGTAAGCTGCGCACCCCACCAAATCCTCACAACTCTATCTGCGCCAACGACCATGACTCAACAACCACGGCCTAAGGTGACATCTCGTGAAGGTAGACTAAGTCTCGCGATAGTCTCCTATTAGAATAAACTATGCCAATTAATCTAAGCCCTCGCGAGAGCGTATGACGTACTAGAATCTACTCTCCAGACGCGTCTCTGTGGTGTCCACCCGCGATCAGAGATAGTCTCTGTCAACCGAAAGCTATTAACTACTAAAGAGCAGTCTCTCGTGCAGTGGATCCTAGACCTTAATCAACAAGGCTTTCCACCCTATATAATTAATGTACGACGCATGGCAGACGCTCTACTCGCAGCCCGCGGCCAAGATCCACCTCCTCCACCTGTAGGCAAGAACTGGGTGTCGCGCTTTGTCAACAGCCAGTCTGAGCTTCAGACTAAGTGGAACAGGAAGGTCTATAGCCAGCGCGCTCTCTGTGAGGATCCTGTCGCAATCTTAGCGTGGTTCAACCTAATAGAGGAGACGCGCCAGGCCTATGGGATACTAGACACAGACACGTACAACTTTGATGAGACTGGCTTTATGATAGGCGTCGCAGCGACGTCCAAGGTGGTCACTAGCTCTGACACTATAGGTTGGGCAGCTACAGTACAACTAGGGAACAGAGACTGGGTCACGACAATCGAGTGTATCAACGCGTCTGGCTGGTGTCTTCCACTATTCGTGATCCTGTCTGGTAAGCAGCACCAGGCTAGCTGGTACCACCACATCCCTATAGACTGGGTGCTCGCTGTATTAGACAACGGCTGGACGACAGATGAGCTCGGCGTAGAGTGGGTAAAGCACTTTAATAGATA